AAATATATTAGGGCGATGTTGACAAAAAATATATCTCAATATTTTCTGGGATTTTATCGATAATAATAATTAGATGATATTTTGCTGAGTGTGTTATTGTGCTGATATCTAAAGGACAACTGTGGACAGCTGACTCCTGAATTTTTTGATATTCTTCATATTCTGTGTGGTCAGTTCACAGCAGTGATAGAAATTTATTATTTCCAACAAGTTTTATGGGCATTTTTATCTTTAAGCCGTTTTTTCTAAAAGTGTGCACCATCTTCAAAGTAAAATTCTTGCATTTGGGCTGTTACCAAGCAAATGAAATCAGTATCAACAAAATTGATCTTTGCAATGCAGAGGAAACAAAGAAGCTGCATTAGAAGTGGCATTTAGATGTATTTACACAATGCAGCTCTGAGGGACATGGAATACTTTAACCTGCAGTTACAAATGCATAAATAATGTTTTGATATTTTAAACATAAAACATTGAAAACTGATGTTTGAAATTGTTTAAAAAATAAAAGGTACCTTAAATGTGAAATTAAAACTGCCAGTAGGTGGCAGCAAGTCACTGTTAAGTGAGTCATTGCGATTGAACCGAATCATTTAAACGGTTGATTCATTCAGGAACGAAACACCGTTGTGTTGCTCAGAGACGCAAAACAGCGCTGTGGCTGTGTTTGGAATTATTTTTGTTGGAGAAATAGAGAAAAAACGGGAAATATGGTGTCTAAAACGTAAGTCTCTTAATATTAACTTCTTGTTTATTGAACTGTTGTATAAAATCAATATCACATTTGTAATCATGCTTACTTGGAGAAAAAAACGGCACTCTTCGTGTGATATTAACTATATGAAATGATATAAATATATACATTTTCTGCCTCATTTCTTTAATTATGTAATTCTAAATGCATTTTAATAGACTGATTCATGCAGTGAAAGAACGCACTATAAATGCGCACGCACACTAGTCTAACCTGCTAGACTTCATCACGTAATGTATGTAGGTGTTTTGTTTGCTTTTCGCGATATACTCGATCATATCAAATCGCACATCGTTAAAACAACAATTACGATATTATCGCAGACCATACATAATCACACACCCCTATTCTGTTTAGATATTTATAATGCATTGTCTTCTTATCGATCCACCAGTTCACATTTAAAGCTCTGCGTGTTTGCAGGGTAAAAACATGGGTCGATTTTTGCATTTGTCTGAACTCTGAACAAACAACAGTTTTATTGAAAATGCTCATTCATTCTCTGCCAGCAGGTGGAGCGTTTGGTAGAAATATAACTGTTTCCCCGGTAACAGCAGAACAGCAGCGCAGCACCGGACTTTGAACATGCAGCGCTTGTGTTTATTCAATGAAATCATAGCCTTTTAAAGTTTAATCATCACATTCAGCCATATCGCAATTCTGGTCTTTCCGTCCCCAAATTTAAGACCTCTTGAAATCATAATTAAGACTTTCTTGTACAATTTAAGACTTTTTAAGGCCTTAAATTTGATACAACTAAATTTAAGGCTTTTTAAGACTTTTTTTAAGACCCGCGGAAACCCTGTTCTTTCATATTTTTTCATTTGTATGTTCAGTAATTATAGTGTAGCATTATATATGTATCCTATTTCATATTTACAAATAACCTGAAAATCTTTGAATTCCATTTACAACTGAAAAAAGTGTAAGCAATGTGAAAATTAAAACAAAAGAAAAAAAAACAAAGCTTTGGTAAAATGTATAAGAAACATTTTTATTGTCTCAGACTTGCAATATAATAATTTGCTATTTAACAGGTGTGCCTAGATGTGAAGGCTGTGTTGTTTCTGAATGTGTGGCAAAACAGGAATGGGTTTTGAGGACAAAGTCAGAGTGAAAAGCCAGGCTTGGCTTTGAATTTTAAACTGACCAAATCAAATTCCAAACATTGCCGAAGACCTGCTAATCCTAACAGCTAGATGAGCAGCTTTGTTGTGACGAAACAAAGATCTTTGATGTGTGTGAATCTTTCGTACCTCTGGCTCTCCGCAGTCACACTCCTCTCCTTCTTCAATGTATCCGTTGCCACATTTCTGTCCCCCGTAGAGCAATTTGACTTCAGGCATATTATATAAACACATGCCCACTCCTTTCTCCAGACTAGCCACCAGATCCTTCTTACTACACGTACTGAACACAGTGGGGAACGGGTACCTATTCACAAAGAGAGAGTAAGAAAAGAGAAAATTAATTGAACATTTTATTTAGTATTTTTGATTATTTTAATTTGTGTTTCATTTAATTTTATATTTAATTTTTTATTTTATTTTATTGTTTATGTTGTTTTAATTTTTTTATTTAATTATATATTGTTATATATAATTTAATATTTAAGGTCAGCAACTCTCATCTGAAAAATCATGCAAGTCAATTAGCTTTACCAACTTTGTTTTGCTGGTTAACAGCATGACCATACTGGTCTACCAGCACCAAACCATTAAACCAGCCTGGACCAGAAATTCATCCTGAGGTAAGGGCTCTTTTCAGCAGTAATTTTAACCAATAAAAAGCTTTCCAAGCAAATAAATGTCTAGCCAAACCCATTTTAAAGCAAAGGGATATAATGCATAATGGTACATAATCTCAACAAACCAGCCAAGCATGAAAAGTTGCAAGTATTCAAATTCCTAAAGTCATTAATGGCATTACTTCTACAAGCACAAAAATGACAACAAAACAAAGCACATTAGCATATGACCTTCCACCATGACATTCACGCCGGAGTCCTCTACGTGATAGAACACTAAGCCAGCTAAGCGTAAGCCCATATGGTACTATTCATGTTAATTCATCACTACCGATACATGATTATAAACAAAACAGCGTCAGACCCGACCTCAGCCTGACCGTAGTCACTGTAGAGGCCACTGACACAAAGACTAATCTCGGACGATCTAAGCTCTAAGAGCAGCGGACGATCATATGACAGCCTCGGTCTGGGGCGGCTGCTTCGGGCAGGGAGCGAGACGAGGTGAAATATCTGAGAGGACAGCAAATTAAGCTAATTTGGGTCTGGGCTCTGCTCACTGGAGAGTACTGCAGAAGATCCTTCATGGTCTGTTGCCAGTATCTTCAGTTCACTAACTCACCACAACAAACAAGCTGAACAACAAATTGCATATTTGCTATGCACTCATAAATATGCGAAACACTGAATAAATGGATGTTCTTGAATTTGTGTGTTTTCGAAAGCTAAAGTGATTCTTCCTGCAGACTAATAGTGTATGCATGCATGCATGTGAAAGGATTAAAACATTAATAATCATGAGGTTAATGGGTGTAACACGTCTGTGCTGAAAAATTACAGCACATGGTTACGTTCAGTAATTACAGCGTGGCATTATACATGTAGCATATGTTTTTTGAAATAAACAAATTCTATGAAATGAACTAAAATTATATATTTAAAAAGCGTGAAATTTCCATTTAAACCTGTAAATAAAAAAAATTAAAAAGTTGCAATAGGATTCAGCAATATTTAAATGGTAATTTAAAGGAAAATTAAAGCGTTTAAAAGAATGATGAAAGGTGAACAATAAAGGAAACATGGTCACAATGCAAATTTGCAAATTTGTGACAATGAATGTTTAATTTAATTTAATTGTTTATTTTATTGATTATTTATATTATATTAATTTATTTAGTATGTCCCCATCAGCTTCTGATCTTACATTTTATTTTCATTTAATTTTTTTGCTTAATTTTCTTTTCTTTTCTATTTTATTTAAATTTATATTTTAGGAAAGGACCATTTTAAAGTGTTAAATAGATTAGAAAACATGATAATCAGGTGAAGAAAGAATTGTCCAATTTCAAGAACAAATTGAAAACAAGAAAGAAACGCTGTCCAATTTTAATTTGTAATGAAAATAATTGTAGTAAAATATAGACATTTGTTTGGCCTCCAAAACACTTTGGACATACTGTATAGGCACATTAATTATCCGTTATTGTATGAGATGAGTGTCTTGGCTCACCAGAAGGACACTGAATTGAGCAACTAACACTCCGCAAACTCATAAAATTCTATTTGAGCTGTACTTTTACCAAAATGCCAACTAAAGTGTCTTGCCACGCTCAAAAGACCTGCAATTGCATGCTGGTCCAGGCTGGTTTATGCTGGTTTGGAGCTGGTCTTCCAAGTGGACCAGCAAAACTTACTTAACTGTTCTCTTGATGATGAAGCTGTGGACCAAGTATTTCTTGCTGGTTAGGCTAGTTAAGCAGCCTGATAGGAACAACAATACACTTGCATCCAAAACATAACATGCTGTAAAAAACAAAGTACTTATAATACCGTTATATAAACACCCATGACTCAGACAAGAAGCAATTCTGTCATCGGTGCCAGTACAGCAAAATAAACTCTGCAGATGAAAGAGAGGAAAATGGGAGGGAAGGATGGAGGGAGGTGTGGGGAGGAGAAACTGTTTGCCAGGAACATCAGCGGTCCCTGGGGGGAAGTAACCACTTGTTTGGGGTTTTGTGGTGGGAGCCAAGCTTATGGAGGTGAGGGGACGACCGGCCAGACTCCTGCAAGGGGGTTTCTGGGTCTGTCCTCATCCTTCACCCTGTGTCCTCACTGCACCCTGCCCAAAAACACAACACCCCTGACTATAATCTATTGCTCATAGGCTGCTCTCAGATGAGTTTCATTTAAGGATTCACTTCATCTCAGATGTTTCTTGTAAAATTCCTAAATCAGACACCAATGAGGCAAATGACGACATAAAATGCTTGTGGATAGCATAGCTAAGAACATGTAACATTTTTTAGTTCATAATGAAATCTCTGACTTCTGATAAAAGACATTGGTATCTTGCCAAATCTGATTGATTGATTTTTTATTTATTGTTTGTTTGTTAAATACATAAGTGAACGAATAAACAAATAAACGAACAAACAAATGATTTCCATTCATTCTTTCTGAAGAAAAATCTGCAGAATACACAAATAAATTCTATTTATATAATACAAGTAATCATTTATTCTCCTTATAATTTAATATGATGGAGAAAATCTGCAGACATACACACACACACACACACACACACACACACACACACACACACTTATTCATTCTCTTGCAGACTTTCTCTATTTGATATTAAATTATGTTAAAAGGGGCCCTAGTAAAAATATGTCTTAACAAAATATATGAACATTATATTATTAATCACATGGCTTTTGAACAGTCTTTAGAAACCAGAATGAAAAATGCAACAGTAAAAATATCAAATTTAGTAAATGTCTTGAAAATGGCTGTGTTAAACATATTAAATTGATAACACATTAACGTTAACAACCTTATTGTGCCCTGGGGGGCTCGGACCTCAGTTTGAAAACTCCTGGTCTAAGAAAAATAATCAAGACATTAAAAAGATCACATTTTGACTTTTGTTTCCTATAAGACTGCACACAGACCATCATAATTCAGCCACAAAAGAAACAGACAAAACTCTATTGGCACTTCACTGTGTTATTGAAAATCAACACAGTCAGCTCAGTGACAATAAAACAGAAACAAGCAATTTAGCCCCAAAACACTGATTTGCAATGAGCCCCTGGCCTTCTGCAAATCTCACAGATGCCAGCAGTGTGGCAGTAAGCTGGGGCACAATCAAGCATGTATGAGTTTTAATGCCGCCTTTAAAGGGATTACTGTTGAAAGAGACCAATCAGTAGGGGCGTCTGGAAGTAAAAGTCATGACATTTGCAAATGGAAGCGACACATACTGTATCTTAAACACCCTAAGAAAAAGCTAAAATTCCAAAAATGACATTTAAGCGGTGCTGTAGTTTGTGCAATGAGCCGTTTGCAGCAGCGAGGGCTAGAACAGTAATGTGACCGAGGAAAGGACTTTGGTTTAAATAGGGATTGACTTTGGGGATTGAGAGCTTGGAATGGCACAGGCTAAGCTGGCAGAAGTTGGCATCAGGTCAAGTGGGTTAAGTGGACTTGGCGTGGTGAAGAATGGTAGGAGCAAAAGCCAGATTGGTTTGTATGGCCTGGCATGCAGAGATGGTTTGAGGCACACATGAGCATGATTTGTGTGCCAATCCACTCTCAAAGTGCTGCAGGAGGGTTTTGGGATAAGAGAGAGCACAGATACAGCCATGCATAAAAACACACGCAAACACATGTACATATTTGCAGAGTTAAGTGTGCGAGTGCACTTAAACCTTCACATCATTCTTCTCTTTACTCAACTTTCCTGATTGCCAAACGATTCGCTCTGTTCCCAGCATCTGTGCAACCCCTAAAGCCCTCCTTATGAATTCAAATTGGATCAAACAACAAATCCTTCCTGCCTGAACTGCACTTTACTCCTTTACCCCAGTAAATCAAAGCCGCAGACACACAAAAATCCACAGAGAACTCCTGCAGTCTACCCTGTCAAAGCCTCTTTTCTCAACTCAAAGATCTGCTTGCATCTTAAACTTTAACTGCTATCATTAAGCATCTGCTTCATAATTCTCACTAAGCAAAACCACATCTTTTCCAAGACTATTGAGCACAACAATGAACCCAGATGCTGAACACACACACACACACACACACACACACACACACACACACACTTATTCATTCTCTTGCAGACTTTCTCTATTTGATATTAAATTATGTTAAAAGGGGCCCTAGTAAAAATATGTCTTAACAAAATATATGAACATTATATTATTAATCACATGGCTTTTGAACAGTCTTTAGAAACCAGAATGAAAAATGCAACAGTAAAAATATCAAATTTAGTAAATGTCTTGAAAATGGCTGTGTTAAACATATTAAATTGATAACACATTAACGTTAACAACCTTATTGTGCCCTGGGGGGCTCGGACCTCAGTTTGAAAACTCCTGGTCTAAGAAAAATAATCAAGACATTAAAAAGATCACATTTTGACTTTTGTTTCCTATAAGACTGCACACAGACCATCATAATTCAGCCACAAAAGAAACAGACAAAACTCTATTGGCACTTCACTGTGTTATTGAAAATCAACACAGTCAGCTCAGTGACAATAAAACAGAAACAAGCAATTTAGCCCCAAAACACTGATTTGCAATGAGCCCCTGGCCTTCTGCAAATCTCACAGATGCCAGCAGTGTGGCAGTAAGCTGGGGCACAATCAAGCATGTATGAGTTTTAATGC